GAGAGAGGGGGGGGGGAACATAGTTGCTTGCTTGTTTGTTTGAGTAAAGAGAAACACATCAACACAATACAGACAGACAGACATTTTTAGTTAAGGTTTTACGGCGCCTGCAACTGCATAAGGTTATATTATATGAGCGCCAGGAGATTAGAGGTGTTACAAGAGAATAACAACAAACACAAAAAAGAAGAAGGGGAGATACGGACGATAGATGTTTGATAGGAAAGAAGAAGCAAACCACACCAGAGAACCCGCCAACCACCCAGACAGACAGAGACAACAACGGGAAAGGAAAGAAGTAGGACATTCCAGTGGCGCCCCTCTAACCACCCGCATTAATTACATACTAGTTAACAGTCCTTCAGCATTGGCCATGAACGAGGAGGAGACGGCTGTCGTCTCACATGGACAAGAAGAACGTTTGCTTGCCAATGTCACCGAAAAGGCATACCCTCAAACCTTGAACCCACACTTTGTGACGCAATTGTCGGGACAGCAGAGACAGTTGATGGTATAAATAGACATGTACATGTACTTGACACGTCAGAGAGAGAGAGAGAGAGAGAGGGATAGAGAGAGAGGGGGATAGAGAGAGGGAGAGAGACAGAGGAGAGAAAGACACTGAGAGAAGGAGGGAGAGAGAGAGGGAGAGGAAGAGAGAGAGAGAGAGAGAGAGAGAGAGAGAGATTGTTTGTTTGAGTAAAGAGAAGCACACCGACACAACAATGGTCATTAATTGCATGCAGGGGAAAATTAAGATCTACGACAAATTAAAACAAAAGACGGAAGTACGTAAGTGGGACCTACAAGTGCTTCAACATTGGTCATGAACGAGAAGACTGTTCTGTCTCACATCGACAGATAAGAACAAAAATTAAGGGGGGGGGGGGGCGTTTGTTTGCCAATAACGCCGAATAGGCACGTCCTCAGACCTTGCCCCAATATTTTGAGATGCCATTCTCAGGAAAACAGAAAAAGTAGATGGTATTAAAAGCCCTGTAGTTGACAGGACTCATTGAGAGAGAGAAAGAGGGAGAGAGAGAAACTGCTTTTTTGTTTGTTTGTTTGTTTCAGTAAAGAGAATCACATCGACATGGACATTTAGTGCACGAAAAAATTAAGACAGACACAAAAACAACAGACGGAACGTAAAGAAGAACACTGAAAAGGACCTAACAGTGACACCCTCCAATCACCCGCACTGGTTACATGTAGATATAATCCATCCATAGTAGCCATAAATGAGTAGGCTGTACAGTCTCACATTGACAAAATATAATAAAAGTTTGTGTTGGCCTTTCGCCCTCTTTCTGATGGCGTAAAGTTAAAGTGTTTACTGGATCTTTCTCTTTTCAAATTCGCGTTTCATCAGCAGTGAAGTAATTTATTCCACTCAATCGTTCAAAGCTGCGTCTGCCATTTGGACCGTTCGAGTTCTAATCCCGGCTCAACTTTCAACAGCCAATCCCCATGCAAGGAACGCCTTCTTCTGGGCGGCATCTCGACTGACACTCCACTAAAGAGCTTGTGTTCATCCATCACCAGGCCAAAGGAGCCGCCCCACCCCACCCATTTCCCCGGATGTCACGTGATAAACAGAGGAAGACCATCACGTCCAAACTTCCGAACAGCTTCTCGATAACGACGTCTTCATTTCCATCGTATTATGTCATCACACGGCCCTGGGGGCTAGAGTGGGGAAAGTGTGTGTCGGGGAGGGGGGGGGTGCCAAAGGAGGGAA